CTCCCCGCTGTCCCGGCGCGGGTCCCACTTCCGCCGCGCGGGGCGGCGGCGTGGAGCCATGTTTTCCGCTCGGCCCCGGCGGCCGGCCCGGAGTCGCCCGCGAGTCCCGTTACCTGGCAGGTGACAGCTGCGAGACCGCGCGCTTGGCCTGCACAGGGGTGAGGATGCGCGGGGCTGCGTGCGTGGTGAGAGGGGAGCAAAGCCGCGTCCTTCCCCGGAAAGACGCAGGCCCGACCTTGCAGCGCGAGGCTCGCCAGCTGCCAGTCTCTTCTTTTGAATAGCCGAGCTCAAATCTGGAATCCCATTGCACAGGGCAAATTTATTCTTCGCAACACGGAAAGTGTGAATGTAAAGGAGCTAAAAAAAAAAAAAAGAAAGACAAGAAAAAAAGTCGGCTTTGACCTAAACGGGTGAAAGGAGCTGAGCCTATTTCATCAGATATGAAAAATTATGTCTCTCACGGCTGCGTTTATCGTGACAAGTGTTTGGAATCATGGAACTTTAGTTTCGGATTTTATTGTTGGAACTGCAAGGAGTTTGCTGACCTATTTGGCACTGTAGACCTTGTGTTCCTCCTGTTTCCTGGTAATTTCTGCCTGCCTTTGGTGGCGCAGATTACTTTTCTCATTGCTGAGACAAAATACCCGATATCCAAAGTTAAAGGAGAAGAGGTTTATTTAGCTCACTGCTTGTGGAGATTTCAGTCGGGAACAGGCTGGCTCCAAGGCAGTGTGACACATGGCAGAGGCGCAACCGTTCATGGCTGTGGAAGACAGCAGAAGCAACAAGAGAGGAGGGGAGAGCAAGCCTTTTTTCCTCCTTTTTATTATGTTCAGGCTACCCGCCCTAGGGCGGGTGTACCATTGGACCATGAATCATTCACGAACTCTGGATTCAGCTATCACTGAAAAGCCTGACCCCTCCGCCCCGTGATTGTATGAGGCTTTGGGGAGACATCCAGACACAAACCATAACCCAACTGGAGAAACTCTCAAAACGGAAACAAGAGCATTCATATCACTTTCACTACTTTAGAACTGGTAATTTCTGGCTCCATTGAAGGTAAATGTTGGCTCATTGCACATCCCTTCTTACACTGTTGTATCCCCTACCCTAAGCGTTTGTTAAATCTGATTTAAGGCAGTTCCCAGAATAAAGCAATTACACTTTAAAACTTAATTGCAAAATACCATTTAGGAGAATACTGCTCAATAAAGAATGACAGAAAGTAAAAATCCTTCTGTATAAGCCATGTGTTTCATATTTCTTTGCTATTCCGGACCATCTGTAGCTTTTTCCTGATGTCGTTAAGTTAGGAACACCAAATTAGAATCCATCATAAGTTTTTCCTTTTGCATATTTTGCTTACCTATTTTCAAAACCTACTTTCAGGCTGTTTCAGAGATACTTCATATCCTTCATTTCAAGAGGTAAACATTAACCTATTGAGTGATTATGTGTGTGTGTGTGTGTGTTTGTGTGTGTGAGAGAGAAAGAAACAAGTATATATATATATGTGTGTATATATATATATACACATATATATATATACTTATATATATATATATAAGCTCTCTGCCACTGGCTCCTGCCCAGAGCTCCTCTCACTAACCTCCTAAGCAAGAGTTCTAGGTGCATTGTTTTTTTCTTTCTCTGTTATTGGTGTCAGCTGAAGCATTATTTGGCGCATATGTGTGTGTGTGTGTGTGTGTGTGTGTGTAAAACCTCTCTACACCTAGAGTCAGAAATGAGGTACTGAGTAAGAGTTTATTGGGAGAAAACAGCCAATTTTTTTCCCACATTGTGGCATGCCATATTATTATTATTTTTGTAAGTTCTCTGACCAGGCAGATTAGACTGTTGGCAGATATTTTATAAAATTAGCCACCTGTTCTCTGCCGAATGTTAGTGATTATGATCCTTATCTTCCCCTTAACATGTGAAAGGCCTGGACATGCTCACAGTCTCTCTAGCATTCTCCCTTCCCTGCATAAACTGCAGAAAGAAAACTTCAGTTCTCAGTAGAGTATGTGACTCAGCTGACACGTCCTCCTCAAGTGAAAATAGGATGCAGGAGCTTTTGTTCTGTTTTAATTTTTCTCTGTTTGAGAAAGTCTCTAATGTAAGTCACAGGTATAGATAAGGTTTAATGTAGAACTTGCTCCCAGACTTGAAAGCACCCCGTCCCTTTTTATTGCGGCACTGGGGATTGAACCCAGGATGGGGAGCCGGTGGTGCGAGCTGTACCCCTTTCTTATAGCCACGCAGTCAGTGGTGCTAGCTGCTTTCAGATGGACTTCAGCAACTGAAAAATGCACTATTTACAAAAATAGCTCCTGTCATGCTCCAGGGACACATAGCTCATTCTTGTGACAGTTTCCCAACAGAGCTGGGTCTCTATACCGGTGAGACATTTCTATTCCTTATCTGTTGGTGAGGAAGGCGGAAGCACGTTGCCTAAGAAGCAGCTTAGGGACTAAGAAGCCTGCTGGTCTAAATTCTACACTGCACCTTTCCCTCTAGCAGACAGGCAGAATTTCGCTCATCCTCAAACCATGATTCTAAGGGAAGAAATAACCGTGTTGGGGGTTGCGCCTATCCTTTTATGTGCTTCCAGAGGAGAAGCTTATCTACTTTCTCCCTGAGTACATTCGATTTCATTGTTGTCTTCCCGGTCAAACCAGAAATTAATTTGGCAGAACATGTAGCTGTCTTGTATTAACGATGATAATAGCAACATTCTGCGTTCCAACCACTTGCCTCTGCTATTATCCCTCTCCGAAAACTGGAAAAACCTGATAATTGTGGCCCCATTACAGCTGGTTTCCAAATTTACAGAGAACTCACCTTCAAGTTTAAGTTTGATCACTTTCAGTGTGGTGGTGTGAATACTGACCATGGAATATTTTTATACTGCCAGGCTTTACACGTTGCAAAGTCCAAACCAAGCATTCTATTATAAACATGCCATCAATTTCACAAGACCTAGTGCTGAGAAATTATATAAATATTGATGCAGTTTTGGATTCCAAGTTTTACATTGACTGAAATTTCAGCTGTAGATGTTGACTTGGATTAGATTGGTTTCAGTATTATGCCTTATGCTTTGTGGTTATTTTATTACTGCCAAAAAGAAAATGTGGCCAATTTAATATAATTTAAGGTCTGTGAGAGTAAAAACAAAGACGGAACTATTTTAGTTTTTATAAATCTTTTACCCTGGACAGTTACTTTGTAAAACAAATAGTATGTGATTGGATGCTTTATTTGTTTTGTTTTGGTACCAAGAGTCGAACTCAGGACCTTGTGCTTGCCAAGCAGGTGCCTGTGCCACTGAGTTATGTCCCTGGCCCTTGGAAGCTTTGTTTGTTAGCCACTGTTCCTGACTGGTCTTAATTTTACAAATAACCCTTTAAAGTTTATTGCCTGGATGTTAGATTTTTTTTTCCTATTCCAGTAATAATCTTATGTTTCATTTTTTCTTTTCCCCTAGGTACTGTCCAAGAAGCTAGAACACTGTTATCCAGTAAGAATGTTCGTGTCAACTGTTTGGATGAGGTAAAATAAAGAACATGAATAAAAGTATTTTATTTCCTTTGAGAATATATAATATATAAAATAAATAATAAAAATTATCTGCTAGTGTTTGTGCTCAAGTTATACTAATCTCTAAACCAAAGGTCAGCAGACAGGTCACAAAAGATAATTAAGCATCTGAAAACATATTTAATCTTATTAGGAGTCAAGTAAGTGCAGATTAATGTACAAGCATATCCTTTCCTTTCAAATATGGGAAACATGATCTTTTATATGCTAATGATTATATGTGTTATACTTTTTATAAAGGAAAATTGAGAAGACATCAAACAGTTCATCAGGTACAATGGTAGATTTGAGAATAAAAATATAAAAATAATGAAGTACACATTTGAGAGATTTTTTAGTTTAAATAATTCTTAGGGTAACGAAGAAATAGAAATGAGTACTGTGTAGAACTGAAAATACAGTATGTATCAAAAGCTACTATTTATCAAAAAAAGCTGTCTGAGGTGGCTTAAAGCCATATTTATAAGAAATTTTGCAGCATTTATCATTGTACTTTCAATCTTTGGTTTTTCAAGACTTTTAACTCATGAAGTTATATAAAAAGGATCAAATACACTAAAAAAGAAACAGAAGAAATGAGTTAGGAAAAATAGAACAATAAAAAATTTAAAAGCCAAGTATAGGCAACAAAATAAAGAATAGATAATTTGGGAACCATCAAAATTAAAAGCTTTGGTCTTCCTAAGCATACCATCAAGAAAGTAATACAAACAGGAGAAACATTTTACAAGTCATATGTGGTGAGGAACTTGTAGTGAGAGAACATACTAAAAACTTCTACAACTCAATGATAAAAAGATATATAATTTAATTTATAGATGGGTCAAATATCTTAGGTAGATGTTGCTCTAAAGAAGATAAATAAATGGTTCATATATACATGAAAAAAATCCCTAATATCATTAGCCACCAGGGAAATGTAAATCAAAGACAAAATGAAATACTATTTCATATTCATTTGAAATAGCTATAATAAAAAGGTATGTAATAACAATTTTTAAGATGCAAAAAAAATCAGAGTTCTACTATGATGGTGGGACTGTAAAGTGGTACAGCCATTTTTGCAAAATGGTCCAGCAGTTCTATCTGATGATTAAGATCAGCAATCCTAGGTCTGCATTTAAGAGCAGTAAAAACATATATCCAAAAAATGTTTGCACATGCATATTTATAATAGCACTATAGTAGCTACAGGTGGGAAACAACTCAAATGCCCATCAGCTGTTAACTGGATAAACAAAAGTGTGGCATATTTATATAGTAGGCTATTCAATCATAGGATGGAATTAATTACTGGTACTTGCTGCAACACGAATAAACCTTCTGATCATTGGGACAGAAGTAAATCAGTAGGTGTATAAACCTAAAGCAAGAAAAAAGAATAACTGCAGTTATAAAGGGGATTGTCACAGGAATAGACAGAGCTCCAATGGCACAAGAAATACAATCAACAAATGACATCATACCAAATGTTTTTGAATTTTTAATATTTATTGAATGTTTATAAAAAAACATCAACTTTTTTTGGCTTACAAAATCTAAAAAATAACAAAAAGAAATTCCTATGTGAACTACAATGCAAATACCAATAGAAATCTACAACAAAAATAATCTTGGCTTCAGCTGTCACACCCAAGGCAATCTTCACACATGACAACTGCACATTGCACATGTGCTTAGCTTTCCTGTCTTTGTTTTTTAATATATTCTTTCCTGGTGGTTTTTTTTGGTGCTGGGAATCGTGTAAGATATTCTTGACATCTCACTGGTCTCGCTGTTTAATTAGGAGCTTCTTATTGTGCGACATTCATTTAGCAGGAAACTAGGAGATCAATAAAATATCCAATATGTAATAAGTGCTTAGAATAGACATCAACATTTTCATGTCAGCTGTGTACTTGTTTACAAAACCTAAAGCATAACATCAGAAATAAACTGTTATGTGAAGAACAATGAAAATACCAATAGAACTCTACAACAAAAATAATCTTTGTTTCAATTGTCTCACCTAATGCAGTCTTCACACATGACAACTGTGTGTTCCATACACATATCTTGCTTACACTGACAGCACAAGTGCTTAGCTTTCCTGTCATTTTGTAGGACATACCTGATATCTTGCTGGTCTTGCTGTTTTGTCAGGAGTTTATTACTATATTATACAGTGTGCACTTAGCAGAAAAATAAGATATCAAGAAAATAAAATATCAAATATGTAATGAGTGCTTAGAATAGACATCAACATTTTTATATCAGCTGTTTACTTGCTTACAAAATGTAAAAGTTAACATCAGAAATAAATACCTATCTGAACTACAATGTAAATACAAACAGAAGCCTACTACAGAAATAATCTTTGTTTCAATTGTCACACCCAAGGCAGTCTTCACACATGAAAACAGCATGTTCTATGCACAAGTATCGCTCACACTGATAGCACATGTTTTGTTTTCTTGTCCTTTTTGTAAGCCACAGCTGATATCTTTTGGTTTTCCTGTTGTCACAGCAGGTCTCTGTAATGTTACTCCTGCCTCTTCACCTGTGATCTCTACAATGTTTTTTTTCATAGTTCCCTGGACAGAAACATTTTGTTCTTCCTCTGTTGTAAATGATTTCTTACGGGTTCCAGTCCCAAACCTCTTAAGAAAGTTTCTCCATGTTATTTTAAAAAAAAAAAAATTACTTTTTTTTTGGCCTCTTGAGAAAGGGTCTTGCTGTGTAGTTCAGGCTGACCTTGAGCTCACTTTGTAGCCCAGGCTACAGAGACTCACAAAGATCTTCCTGCGTCAGCCTCCCAAGTGCTGGGAATATAGGTTGTGCCTCCATGCTGAACTTCTCCATGTAATTTGCACTAGTTATTTTCTCCATAAACTATCAAACTATTCATGCCATGTGTTTGTGATCAAGTAAAATACAACCAGTGGCAAATACTTCACGTTTTGAGTGACGTCATAGTTGCTGTGTAACTTAACAACATCTACTCCACCATTGATTTTGTTGTAAAAAGTTAACCATCTTAAGCCTCAGTTTTGTTGAGGTTTCTCTGTCAGTTTTTCCATCACAGTGCAATGTTGACATCAGCAGTCTAGTTTGCTTTTCTTTGCCATATACGAGGCCAGTGTTGTATCTTTCTGAAATCCAAAGTTTGTACTATATAATTCTCTGTTTTGAAATCACAAAATTTCCTTGGGAATTTCTGCTCTTTTCTTGTAAACAGTTCCTACGCTGGTCACCTTGTGCTCTTAGTCAAGAATTCCACTGTTTGGACTGTACATCTCTGCCAGTTCAACATTGTTGTATCTAGAAGTCTTTAGTGTTTCCTCCTTTCTGTCTCTCTTTTCAAAGACCTCAGTGAGACCTCCAAGATGATATAGGAGCCATGTAACTCCCAACCTGATGTGTGGAGTTCATGTTCCCAAAGTTGAAGGATGAATTCCAGGAAACAGTGGAGGTTAGGAGTGGGAGGGTTTATTGAGAGAGACGGGATCCACTCAAGAGGGGAGTGCAGGCGCTCAAAAGAATGAGGCCGGGATCATATCAAATTTTAAAGACTGCACAACAAAGGAAGCAACCAACAGTGACAAGACAACCTACAGCATGGGAAAAATGTTTTGTCAGCTACTCCTCAGAGGACTAACATCTAGAATATATGAAGGATTCAAAATAATTAGACTCCCTCCCATATAAAAGACTGAATTGAAGAGAGGGCAACTGAAATGAATAGACACTTCTCAGAAGAATAAGTACCAGTGGCCAGAAAATACATGAAAACATGTTCAGTGGTGCTGGTCCTTACAGAAATGCAAATTAAGACCACACCAGGATACCATGTTAGTCCAGAAATAGGCTATTATCACATAGTCAAATCATAACAAATGCTACCACAAGGCTGTAGGGGAAAAGGAACCTTTCTGCATTGTTGGTGGGAATGTCAACTAGTATAGTCACTGTGGAAATCAGTATGCAGATGCCTCCAAAAAAAACTAAAAACAGAAATTCCGCTTGACCCAGCTATTCCTTCTAGATATCCTCCTGAAAGAATTGAAATCATATTACAGTGATATATGCATATTCATGTTTATAGCAGCACAATTTATGGTAGCTACATCTTAGAAACAGCATTTAGGCCCATCAGCAGATGCATGGAGAAAGAAAATGTGGTATTGCATGCCATGGAGTACTGTTCTACCATAAAGTAGAATAAACTTGAGGCAGTCATAGCCAAATGGATGCACCTTTTTGGTCTTTTTTTTTTTTTTCTCTTTTCTTTTTTGGTACCGGCAGTCGAACTCAGGGCCTCACACTTGCCAGGCAGGCGCTGTGCCGCTGAGCTACATCCCCAGCCCCAAATGGATGCACCTTGAGACTTCAATATTAAGCAAAATAAGTTAGACGTGCAGTTTAAGTATTGTATGATGTCTCTTATATGAGAAATCCAAAATACAAATGAAGAGCAAAATAAAAGATAATAGGAAGGAGGGAGATGATTTTCAAATGGGAGGGGGAACAAGAGATGAAGGAAGGGTGGGAAGAGAAAGTGATTTAAAAAAGAGAGAGGATTGAAAAAAATGTAAATAGAGCTTTTGCAGGTGGAAAAAGAGACCAAGAGTTGAATGGAGCAGGGAAGGACGGGAGGGAAGAAGATAAAAGAATTAAGATGTGTTACATACGTGTGCAAACTCCCCACCGTAAGTGTAATCATTATGTACTGCAAACACATACAATAAATGAGAAAAGAAAAAAATAAAGAGGAATGTCATAACTTTTTTTTAAAACCAATACATTCAGACATCCACATGAACTTCGTAGAGAAATAAAGCAGACACAGAAAAAAATAGAATAATTGGAAACATTTTAAATTTAGGAACATTTAAAAATGTTTATCATCTTCCAGAATTAGAAAGCCTGAGAAAGCTTCATGAAACTTTAAAGATCAGTTCATTCTCATTTTA